AACAAGCCCAACACTTTGGGGGATATTTGATCACACTGTGAACCCTGAGTTTATATTTGCATTGATTAAATAAAATTACGCTTGGGTCAGGAGGCTGTGTTAGTAATCACAGAACATCAGAGGGCACCTGATAGAGAGACACAGGAAGTAGTAGGGTGGGGATCGGAGTGACTAAGCTTTTTCTGGTTTGGCCAAGTGGAAGCAAGGGTCCTTGAGAGACACCAGCAAGGAGGGAAGGTTAGCTAATTGCAACCCAGCATCTCTGAGCTAGCAAGTTTGAATCTTGAGTCTCACTTATAAATAGAATGATAGAGGTTTAATTAAAGCTACCTTTAGTGGCAGCGACAGAGCCAGTGCCTGCAGCAACAGGATTCCCACTAAAGCAGGCCAGTAACTGCAAAGCTGCAATTGCTGGCGGAAATAGCAGATTAAGATACAGCCACTGTGCTGGAGTTAAAACCACATACTACTAATCCTTCCCAAACAGAATCCCTAACTGGGGACCAAACATAGAAACATATGAGCTTATAGGGGTCCATTCTCATTCAAACCACCACAGGTTCATTTTGTGTTGGTCAGTTACTCCTGAACATGGGGCCTGCCCTGGAGTGTGGTTTGATATACCCAGTGATGGTCCACTGGCGAAAACAGATTTTCCCTTTGCCAAAAGGTATAAATTGCAAATAGTGTGTGTGTGTGTGTGTGTGTGTGTGTGTGTGTGTGAGAGAGAGAGAGAGAGAGAGAGAGAGAGAGAGAGAGAGAGAGAGAGAGAGAGAGAGAGAGAGAGAGAGAGAGAAAGATTCATTCTATAAGTTCTGCAACTCTAGAGAACCCTGACTAATGCAGGGTTTGATGGAGACATCCCATTTAGGACTGAGTGTTCCAAAGTCTCTCACTCGCTACGGGTTGTCCTGTTGTGGGTCTCTGTGTTAATTCCCATCTACTGCAAGAAGAAGCTTCTCTGATGAGGACTGAGAGATGCACTGATCTATGAGGATAACGGGCATCAGTTTACTGCTATGTTCCTTTAGCAGAAAAATAGGTTTTCCCTTATGCCCATGACCTATCTAGTCTCAGATTCTTGGTCACTTCAGCTGTGTCAGGTAGGGGTTCCATCTCATGGAATGGGCCTTAAATCCAATCAGAAATGGTGGGTTACTCCTGTAAGATTTGTATTATAACATGACGCCACTTTGACCAAGGTAAGCTACATGTAACCCTGAGCACTGGAGGTTTTACTTGGTGGCATAAGATGTCTAGCTAGGGCATTGTTCCTGCCATTGTGTGGTGACTCCATTTAGATCCCACTCGTATATGTGTATATTTTAGGAAGCTTCTGTAGTAGCAGGTTTCCATATGGTTTTTCAAGCCTTTAGTGTTAGCTGTTCCTCCCATATTCCCTCTTTACCCTGCTCTCCCCTTCCCCTCCCCCACTTAATCCCCATCCTAGTTTCCTCTTTGTCTCTCCATAACTCTATATTCTATTTCCCCTTCCTTGAAAGATCCTCTCCTCTTCCTGACCCTTTACCTAATGGTAATTCAGATTATAGCACACATATCCAAAGCTTAAATAAATAAATAAACAAACTTTGAAAATTAGAACATGGATTCATCAATAAAAGATACTTTTACACATGATCATCCTAGACTAAACTTTATAAAGGGTCTCTATCAGAAATTTCAAACACTCCTGAAGCTCAAAAAAATTTAATAAATGTAAAGTTACACCATGTTCAGAAACTAGCATACTCAACATTGTAAGAATATGTTTCCTATTTACCTACAGGTTCAATCAATATAGTACACACTAAGGAATTTGTTGTTTGGGGCTGTTTTTGTTTTGTTTTGTTTTGTTTTTTCAAGACAGGGTTTCTCTGTGTGGCCCTGGTTATCCTGGAACTCACTCTGTAGGCCAGGCTGGCCTTGGACTCACAGAGATCCACCTACCTCTGCCTCCTGAGTGCTAGGATTAAAGGTGTGTGGCAGTGGTGGCCACCGCTGCCCAGCACAAAGATTCTTTTCAGATATAAGATGTAGCTAAGTTTTACATCTAAAAGTTATAAAAAAAGTTATAAAAGACAAGCATAACTGAAGTAATGATAAAAGGTGAAGCTTGAATGTTCTTTTTAAAGCATGTACTATTAAAACACTATGTTATTATGCAAGTAAGCCCATGGAACAGAACAGCTAGTCCAAAAGCAGACTGTCACAAGTTTGGAAACTTGGTTTCGACAAGAGTGGCTTTGGAGAGCAGTGTGGAAAGGATGGTGTTGAGTCAACTTAGTTTTCAGATGGGGAAAATATATCTTGGTCAATTCCTTCCTATATTGATTCCAGACTGATTCCTGGCAGACTGCATTAGTGAGGTGTGTCTGGGAGGAGGGTAGTTCCCGATAAGTTTAATTGAAAAAGACCCACTATGAATAAACGTAATGCTATCCCATGAACTGGGTTCACAGCCAAATAAAAAAAGAAAAAGTGAATTGGTTACAACATCATCTCTCTCCACTGCCTGACTGCAGATGCAAAGTGAGCAGCTGCCTCAAATGACTACAGCCATGACTTCCACATCACGACCACAATGATAGTGGATGTATACCTAATCGTAAGCCAAAACAAACCTTTCTGCCATTAAGTTGCTCTGAGGCATACTACCTCAATGTCCCTTGGTGCATGACACATGCCATCAAAACAAAAGACAGAGCTATGGAAAGGGGTCAGCAATGAAGAGTGCTTGCTGCACCAACATGAGAACCTGAGTTCAAGTCCCCAAGACCCACATAAAAAGCCAGGTGTGGAAGTGTGGGCCTATAGCCCCAGTGCTGGGGGATACAGTGGCACACAAGGATCACGGAGGGGCTTGCTTATCACCAGCCTACCTCTAGGTTCAGTGGGAGACCTTATCTCAAGGGAATAAGACAGAGAGTACTAGAGCAGGACACTCCCTCCTCTACCCCCCAGATGCCCACAAGTTGGTGCACCCACAAACACAAGTGCGTTTGCTACACACACACACACACACACACACACACACACACACAAATAAAAAAGCAATGATCATAGCTGGGTGGTGGTGGCACTTGCCTTTAATCCCAGCACTCAAAGGCAGAGGCAGATGGATCTTGGAGTTCTAGTCAAGCCTGGTATACAAAGCGCATTCCAGGACAGTCAGGGCTACATAGAGAAACCCTGCCTTGAAAAACAACAACAACAACAAAAAGGGTGCAATGATCTTCTGGGTATGGTGGTGAAATGACCCATGTGAGATGGTTATTGACAATCACAAAAACTGAGCCAAGCAGGAGTATCTAAGTCCCATTATTAGCCCGCAACCAAGAGTGACCTCAGAGTCTCTTGGTGCTGAAACTCAGGAGTACAGCATTTTAAAAGACAAAAAGGCACAATCACATCAATGTTTGAGGGGGATCAGCACAACATTTGTCATTGTGCAGAGCTTGGTAGTATTCTCCAGACACCATATGACAATTACTTCTGATTTGCACTTCGTCTTAGTTACCCGAATTCTATATGTTAGCCTGCACAAACATCAATTATTCTGGATAACACATCTGGACCATGACCAGGGACATGCACAGTCCCAAAAGCATTGCCAAGATCTGTGGCCCTTGGAGAGGGAGGGGAAGCTGTGGAATGTCTAGGCACAAAACAGAGTCGGGACACGATGGCATTATCTTAGCCATTTCAGTAGTGCTACCTGTAACCACAGCACTTGGGACTGAGCTGGAAGGATTGCAGTGACCTACAGGCCAGACTGAACTACATGTGAAACCCTGTCTTAGAATAACCAAAGTCAGGGCTGGGGATGTGGCTCAGTTAGTAGAGTACCTGCCTCAGCATGCACAGAAACTCAGAGTCCATTCCCACCACTACATGAACTCAAGCCAATAATCCCAGCACTTGAAGGTGGAGGCAGGAGGGTGAGATGTTCAAAGCCATCCCATGACTTAGCTATTAAGAGTGCATAGAGTTCTTTCAGAGGACCTGAGTTCATTTCCAGCAACCACCTGTAACTCCAGTCTCAGAGAATGAAGCATCTCTGAACTCTGTGGGTATGTGCACAAAACCACAAAGATATACAGGTAATTAAAAAAAAAGATTTAAAGAGCGCTTTTCTGCTCTTGCAGAGGACTGGAGTTCAGTCTATAATACTCATGTCCACAGGATTGCTACAGCTAGCTCCAGGGAACCTCAGGCCAGCAGCCTCCCCTGGCATCCACACACTAACTAATAAGCTAAGATCAAAAATAAGCGCACCAATTCGTGGAATTGGGTTCCTAGTCGTCTGTGGGGACAGAGACCAAGGCTCTGCAGGTGTGCATGTTCACTCTGTTGGCATTCATCAAATGTCAGGTTTCTGATGCGAGTACTTCCATGCTCTTCATATGAATTTTGTTGCTGTTTGTTTTTTCAAGCCGAGTTTTCTCTGTGTAGCCCTGGTTGTCCTGGAACTCGCTCTGTAGATCAGAATGGCCTGGTCTGCATCTCACAGACCTGGCCTCCCAAGTGCTGGGATTAAAGACGTTCCCCACCACGCCCACCCTATAATAAATATGAATAACATTTAAGATTTATTTCATTTTTATTTATGTGATTGAGGGTGTCCGAGGAGGTTAGAAATGGGCGACGAATCCCTTGAGGCTGTAGTTACAAGTAGTTTTGTGAGGTGCACAACTGGGTACTGGAATGAGAACTCCTTTTGCAAAAGTCCTTTGCAAAAGCAGCAAGGGTCCCTAAACCGGTTAGCCCCTCGATATCAATACTTAAATGTCTAGAGGCCTCAAGTCCACCCTGGGGCTTTAAGGTGACCATACTAGCTCGGATGTAGCCTATCTTAAGGTAGTCCAACCGACTGGCCCAGCCTTGTCTCTGCTGAACCCCAGATTTGGCTCAGGAACCTAGATCCCAGGAGCCTTGGCGGAGTCTCCGCCCCCTGTTGGATGCAGAAGGGGACGATCCCAAACACCCCTGCCTGGAGGTTCACTGAAGTGAGAGTGCCTCTCTCGTGTTCTTATCTTTTGGACACAAACGTCTGGAATCTAGTCTCTCCACGCTCCAGGAACGCTCCCTCCGAGAACCTAGAAGAGAAGACAACGATCGCAACGCCCGGCGGTGCCTTCGATTGCTTTAGCCTGGTGGTCGAGGTGAGCGCGGCTCGGATTGGTTTTGTCTGGCTGCGGGCGCGGTGCACTCTGGGACGCGGCACTGGCGGGAGGCGCAGGCCGGTGGCCGAGGCGAGGGGACTCGGCAGCGGCAGGATGGTGAAGCTGACGGCGGAGCTGATCGAGCAGGCGGCGCAGTACACCAATGCCGTGCGGGACCGCGAGCTGGACCTTCGCGGTGAGTCTGGGGGAGCGCGGGCTGTGTCCCGGCTCGGCGCGCGGCCGGGAGGAGCGGGCCCCGCCGCGTGCGCGGAGGCCGGAGCCTGGCCCGCGGGCCTCCCGCCCGGGTCTGGGGTACCCCCGATCGACAGTCCCTCTGGAGCCGTCTGTTACCCGCTCCTGCTAACAGACACGGCTTCTCGATTCCTTCCCGGGTCCGTGTCCGTTAGGCTTTGCCCGGCATGCTCAGCAGCCTGAACTGTTGGCGGGCCCGGAAAGTAAAAAATGGTATATACCGGACGGCGAGCGGCTGGTTTTTAGCAAATGCGTTAATGTGACTTGCGAGGGTGGATTAGATATTTGTCGAAGTTATCTTAATTATACAGTAAATCCCTTTTGGGTTTGCTCATTTGTTTTTGAGACAGCGTCTCCTGCACTCAGAGCTGGCTTCAAACCGCTGTGTACCTAAAGAGTTATCTCGAACTTCCGACCCTCTTGCCTCCACTTCCTGGCGCTGGGTTTAAATGTGTGCCCCATGTTTATATGGGGCTGCGGATCAACCCAGGATTTTGTTCATGATAGACAAGCACTCGCCCCACAGAACCAGATCCCCAGCCCCTGATAATTCACTTTTGTGAAGGTGTTTTCTGTCTTGATCTGTGTGACCAAGGTTTGTAATCATCACTTCCGTGTGAGGAGTGGTGAACACTAACCTGCTGAAAACAGCTTGGTTTAAAAACAAAGCAAGCCGGGCGTTGGTGGCGCACGCCTTTAATCCCAGCACAACAATAACAAAATATAGCATTGCAAGTACAATTATCAACTTTTCAGGAGATGGCTTTGAAAGGGGTCAAGATTATGTAACTGTGACTTGAGGCAAGCACAGTCTGGGGGAACTATACTCTACCATTTGCTAAAATCCCTTGCTGACCTGTAGAAAATCCTAGTGCTGCTGTTGTAGACGTTAGCTTTAAGTCCGTTTCAGGGACATCTGGACCCTTTTACTGTCTTGGCACATTTTTGGTCTCACTGAAGGCCATGCCGTCTTGAGAATGCTTATCTTATTGCACTCCTTCACAGCTGAGTTGTGCACTAAGTTTCTCCTCTTCCTTTGGCACCTAGCTCGATGTTTATGCCCATTAGACAGCCAAGGGGATGCTCGCAGTGTGATTTGTGGTTGTATAACACCATTTTCAGCTCTGCATTGGAGCTGGTGGAGAGGAGAGTGTGTCAGGATACCATGAGGATCTACCAATGAGTTATGTGAATGGTTGAGAAAGCTGGTCACCAGTGTCCCAGCAAGATGTGGGCATCAGCAGTAAACAGTGTTGATTTGACATTGAGCCTAATACTCTAAGGACTTTGAACAGTGTGAATACCTTGTAGATGTTCTCATAAGCTGTAGGCACCAATATTAGTAAGTATGCTCCTGTGTTCTTGTTCTTGCCTTCACCCTCCTCTTCAAGTTTAGTGCACGGCCACGCGCTTCGAGACAGTAAGGACCCTGTAACGCATTTGCCATTTATCTTCAGTATGTTTTGTGCAGCATGTGACATGGCCCCCGGGGCCAGTTTAATACTTCTTGAATGAAGTATTAATTACAATTAGATACTCCTGCTGTTTTCAGGACCTTTCATTTATATTAATATTTGTTGTATGTATTTTTCCCCCTCTACAGGATATAAAATTCCTGTCATTGAAAATCTAGGTGCTACCTTAGACCAGTTTGATGCTATTGATTTTTCTGACAATGAGATCAGGAAACTGGATGGTTTTCCTTTATTGAGAAGACTGAAAACATTATTAGTGAACAACAACAGAATTTGGTGAGTGTCTGCTAGAGAGAATACTTTCTACCTTGAAAGGGATGTTACAATGTTCCCTGAAGATACTGTTTGTTTGTTTGTCTTTAGTTTTTATTTTATGTATATTAGTGCTTGCAAGTGTGTCTGTACTATCTATATACCTGTGTGGTTCCTTCAGAGGCCAGAAGAGGGTGTGAGTTCTCCTGGAGCTGTAATTACAGACAGTTGTGAGCTGTCCTGTGGGCACTAAGAATAGAGTCTGGATCCTCTGGAAAAGCAGCCAGCACTCCAGCCTCTCCATGCCTCTTCTTAGAGGGAGAAATGAATCGAGCGCTTTTCCTAAGAGATTGGGAGACTAACGTGTGAGTTGGTCTGACCTTACTTGCCACTCTTCAGAGATCTTTAGTATTCATAGTGATACTAAACTTTGAAGTTAAATTTAAAACGTGTTGCTATGTATACATTTCAGATTCTAGAGCAATTACCAACAGCATCATAATAAAAAGATTTATAAAAGCCAGGTATAGTGGTGCCTACCTTTAATCCTAACACTTGGGAAGGCTGAGGCAGGCCAGCCTTGTCTCCATAGCAAGTTCCAGCTGATACTATATAGTGAGACCCTGTCTCAATAACATCCTTTTTGTTTATTTGGTTTTTTTTTTGTTTTTGTTTTTGTTTTTTGTTTTTTGTTTTTCTTGAGACAGGGTTTTCTCTGTGTAACTTTGGAGCCTGTCTTGGAACTCAATCGGTAGACCAGACTGGCCTCAAACTCACAGAGATCCTTCTCCCTCTGCTTGCCAAGGGCTGGAATTGAATGTATACACTACCACCTGGCTGTTTATCAGCTTTATATAAAAATTTTATTAATATGGTTATTAAAGAAGGTTTCTCATGCCTGGTACTGGTGTTTCTGTTAGGATCTTGTTGGAATTATTGTCAGGGGACTGGCATTACTGTAGGCAAAGCTTATTAAGGAAAGATTCCAAAGGCTGGTGACATGGCTCAATGGTTAAGAGTACTGGCAGCTCCTTTTCCAGTTCAGATGACCTGGGTTCTTCTCCCTCCCAGACCAGCCTGGCAGCTCACAATTCCAGTTCCAGGGAATTCGAGGCCCTTTTCTGCAGTCACCAAGCATATAATTGGTATACAGACAAAATGCAGGCAAAATACCCATACACATCAAAGTTCTGAGTGGTGTGTTTAGGTAGGAGCCATTTTCATGATTAATATTTTCTTCGGGTGAATGTGTTACACTAGCTCTGTGAATGCAGAATCATTGGTTTTTGAGTTTTCTGAACAAAAAGTTGTAATTTTTTTTTTCTACCCTGGAATTCCACCTTTCTTTGGGTTGCACTAGACCACTTGGCCGTGGAAAAAAGGCCAGGAGGCATGCATGGGTTTCTGAGGTCATCCATCCCTGTCGCTGAGCCTGAGCCTCACACGGGGCTTCCTCTGCTGCTGTCCGTCCTTGAGATGGGATGTGGGAGAGGGTTATTCTAACATTGAGGTGTTAGATACTTGTAAGGATGGAGATAAACGTTGGTTTGTTTATTGCTGTCACTGAGAGTCTTTCTGTTTTTATTGTAGCCGTATAGGAGAGGGGCTTGATCAGGCTCTTCCTTGTCTGACAGAACTCATCCTCACCAACAACAGTCTAGTGGAACTGGTAAGTTGAATGGACGAAACTGTATTTAAGGAGAAAGGTTAAGTGTACTTCCTGCTTCAAAATGTCATCTCCTAGTTTCTCTTTGGGTTTTTTCATAACTGTTTTACTATTCCAAGCCTTTTGGGTGTTTTTTTGTTTTTTAATTATGGTTTTTGTTGTGTTGGTTTGGTTTGTTTTTGTGTTGGGAATTGGCAAGGCATTTGGATAATGTATGTTGAAGATCTCTTTGCCCCCTTTTGGCTTCTGACTCTGGGTGTCTGGGTAGGAACGTTCCCATGCAGTCTTGTTTATCGGTCACTATCATTAATGTTTCTGATGTTTTGTCGAAACTTGCCTTTCCCTCCCATATACAAAAAGACTCCCATGTTGTGAAGGATTGTAGTGTGGTACCCTAACCTTAGTTCTTAAGTGAGATAGGCAGAACTATAAAATATATGCCAGATTTCAGGCTTAGTATTAAAAATGAAGGTGTAAACTTTCTTAGTGGCTTTTTATATATATAGTGCATTGATATTTTAGATAAGAGTTTAAATTTGGTTTTACCTGTTTTCTATGTAAATATAGCTGCTAGCAAGTTTTAAAATGCCTGTCTGAGTCTCATGAGATAGTCAGTCAATAGATCTCTTACCACATAAGCATGAAGACTGGATTCTAACTCCAGAATCCATGTTTTAAAACTGGGCATAGAGGTTCTAGTTTGCAGTTACAGCAGTGAAGAGGAGGCAGAGTTAAATCCTTGGGACTCTCTGGCCAACCAACCTAACTTCTCACACACACACACACACACACACACACACACCACTGAAAGCGGTATGTTACAATTTCATGTCATGATAATAGATTTAATCACCTATCTGGAGTTTTGTCAATTTTAGATATCTTAATACATATAAGTTTTAAATATCGCCAATATTATCCTGGCAGTTGAACCTTTTGATTGGGGTGAGGATTCTCTGTTAATACTGTTTGGCCTTGAGGTTTATATAATGTAATATATAAGTCCAAACAAGCTTTTTTTGTTTAAATGCTTCCATGACAAATCTTTTTTTTATCCAGAAATTCACTTTTATTGCCTCTCAAAAACTTCATATGATAGGATATTTAAAAGTGTTTAGATTTATGTATATGATTGTTTGGCCTGCATGTGTATATGTATACCATGTATGAGCCTTGTGCCCACACAGCTCAGAAGAGCATCAGATCCCCTAAAACTGGAGCTACAGATGACTGTAAGCCACAAGAGTGCTGGGAATCAAACCTGGCTTCTGTGTGAGAGCAAGAAATATTCTTAAATATTAAGCCAGCTCTCCAGCTCTGATGATAGAATTTCATTTAAGTCCACTATTAGCCTGTCTTTCAAATACGTCGCCTATATCCTACTTACATGTAATAGTGTTATTGGTATATCACAGTTTGTCTGGAGGGGCGCTTCCTCTGTGACATCTGTTGGGTTACTTTTTATTGGGTACATGTGTGTGCTGTCTGTTTCTGTCATTCCATTTTTCCTTCAAATGGTTTACAAATTATTTGCTGTGTCTATTTCTATTCATAGCCAGCAATTTCAACAGTTTAAAGTCAACCAATACCTTTGCCCTTCTCAACAACTATCTTTTACTACAGTATTTTCATTCTTTGAGAATTTAATACATGTATACAATGAATTTCGGTCATACTCACTTTCAGTTCCTTCCATACCTGCCTCCCACCTTCTCACAACTTAATTTCCTCCTCTTTTTGGTGAGACAGGATCTTTCAATGGTCCTGGAATTCACAGAGCTCCTGCCTCTGCCTCTCAGAGAGTGCTGGGACTAAAGGCATATGCCACCATGCCCCCCCCCCACCCCTTTAAAACCACCATGTCCTATTTGTGCTAGCCATATACTCTGGGTTATGAGGCTGGGCCATCTACAGAAGAATGGTTGACCTACCAGAAGCCACGCCCTTCAAGAATACTGACTCTCCCTCCCCCAGTTGCCCCAACTGAAAAGTTCCTTGTGAGCCCCCCCGCTGGTTCTCTCTCCCCACCAGCCAGCCCTCTTCATTGCAAGAATATTGACTGGCTTGGTCCTGTGCAGATGACCACAGCTGCTGTGAGTTCATGCGCATGGTGGTCCCGCCATGTTCAGAAGACACTGTATTGCCTGGTCTTCCCTTTGGGCTCTTGCAGTCTTTCCCCTTGCCCTGCCGCAACAGACTGAGCCTTGCAGAGAAGAGGAGTGATAGAGATATCCTATTGTAGCTCAGTCCTCCAGAAACATGCATTCTCTACACTTTGGCCAGTCGTGAGCTTCTTCTGATGAGGTCCAGGAGCTGCACTACTCATCTGTGGGGATAGAGATACATATTAAGAGAGCACTTTGAGGCTATATCCACTTAGCAAGATAATAATAGTAGGGTGAGCTCTAGACCCTGTGAGCCGCCCAACTATGGGTTCTTAGCCGGAGTTATTGTCCCAGGCATGCAATTCCTCCTGTGGAGGTGGGTCTAAGATCAAACCAGAAAATAGTTGTTTATATCATGACATTTGTGCCACCACTGTGCCCGTGGGTCACTGCCACATGGTCGTTACTGAGCTGGGCATGAAAATTGATGACATCTTTCCTCAGCAGCCTGCATAGAACTTCTGCTACTTTGAACACTAGCCAGCTAGTAGGAAGCTTCCTGGGGCAGTACCAACTTGATTTCTCATGTCCTGTGATGAAAGTGTGTGGTGCTTTCACCAATAGGGTCTTACCATCACATTTGTGGTAGGCAGTCTAGATCAGCTATTAGCCTATGTTGTATTTTGAGACAGTCTCTTAACCTTAACATGTCACCTAGGCTGACTTGCAACTCCGTATGTAGCCTAGGCTGGCCTTGAATTCATTACAGTCTTCTTGCCTTAGCCTCGAAATTGCAGGGATTACAGACATGAGCCACTACACCCAGCTTTAAGGCCAGTGCTCTACCAGCATACAGCTGGGTTGTAGAAGGTTCCAGCAGGGGCTCTTTCTGGAGTCAGTGCCTTGGGTGATACATTGTGGAATTGTAGGACCTTTTGGATGCTAGTTAAGCCCCCTATTGCTGAACTACAGGCCCGGCTATTCTTTTTCTTAAACAGATCTGTTGTGTTGTGATTTTGGTCTTTTACTCTTTTCTCTTTTTGAGGGGCCCAGCACCCAAATAAATACACAGAGGCTTATTAGTTATGAGTGCCCAGTCTTAGTTTGGCTTGTTTCTATCCCAGGTTTTTCCCTCAATGTAGCACTTGTACTGGAAGGGACACAGTTTGCCCAGCCAGGACTGTATAGCAAGACTTTGTGCCAAATGGGAAAAAAGATAACCAGTGTGAGGATCCACATTGCTGTAGCCTCATCACACGCTGTCTGGATCTTCCTCTACTTATTATTGGAACATGCAGATCCTTGGGCAACTGCTCTCCAGCTGAACATCTGTTAGTTCTCTGGTTTACCATATGTGTGTGTGTGTGTGTGTGTGTGTGTGTGTGTGTGTGTGTGTGTGTGTGTGTGTACACACACACACACACACACACACACACATATATATATATATATATATATATATATATATACACCTTCTTGCCTTCCCTCTACTTCTTTCTGCACAAATGCTGTTCAAGTCAAGTAGCTAGCGTCCCTACTTATTCCCATTATATGTTTCCTAGGAAATTACTTGTCTAGTTTGCTTGTTAGCTTTGGATAATGGGTTTTTAGTGTTGTTATGTTTGTTCCATCATGGTTTTCTGGACAATTTGGGAAGACTTGAGAATATGTAGCCCTGGTTAGCCAGAACTCACTGTATAGAATAGGTGACCTCAGACTCACTGAGATTTGTCTATCTCTGTGTCCTGAGTGCTAGAATAAAGACATGTGCCACCATGACTGGCATCCATAATTTTTTGAACTATGCTAGTCACCTTGTCTTTGAAAATATTTGAAGAGATGGGGGTAGGGTGGGCTAAGATAACAGGGCCCTCTCTCAAAGATAATATGCTCCCCAGGGCCACTGGGATATACTAACAAGAAAGGACATTTTGCACCAAGTTTGGCAGCATATACCCATAATTCCAGCACTTGGGAGGATCAGGATTAAAGATCATCTTAGGCTGCATAGCAAGTTCAGGGCCAACCCAAGCTATAGGAGATTCTGTGTCAAACAACAAAAAACCCACATTAGACCAAGATCTTGGCTTGAGGTTCCTATGTAAATAGCTTGATCCAAGTAAGTCAGTGATGTTGGCTTTGGTTTCCTTTTGAATCATTGCTTAGTAGCCATTTTGAGATTGCTATGGGAAATCAATTTTTTTATTGTCTTCTATTGAAACAGGTGTTGTTACTGCCAAGACTTAAAGAAACTGGAATACATTCAGCAGTTTGTTAGATTGAAGATATTTAGGCAGTTGTGTTGTGTTAGTATTGAACTAGGTGCCAGGGCAATTAAAAAAAAAAAAAGGTAAAAGATAGTGTGGATACTGTTTCAAAGATACTTGCCATTTCAGAATATCAGAATAGTAGTGTGTATATCAGCTTTGTTCTTACTTTGACCCTTATTTTATAGGGTGATCTGGACCCTTTGGCGTCTCTCAAATCACTGACGTATCTAAGGTATGGAAATCGCTTGTTGTGATAGCTCGACTAAAAAGTCTTGAAATAACACCATCAGGCTGCTACTAAACAGTAAAGTAGGAAGAATGGTGTGCTTTCTCTTGGTTTATAGTCTTTACACTTTTCAAATGACCCTCTCAAATGGAATGCTGTGAGTAAGATTGGCACTGTCCCTTTTCTATAGCATCCTAAGAAATCCTGTAACAAATAAGAAGCATTACCGACTTTATGTGATCTACAAAGTTCCACAAGTCAGAGTGCTGGACTTTCAGAAAGTGAAACTCAAAGTGAGTATTGATACATGCTGGAGTCATTACAGAGCGGTCCTTTCCCTTACGCTTTCATGACTGATCTTTTAAAGTTGCTTAATTAGTATTTTACCATTACTTTAAAATTTAATGTGTGGGAAAGAAAGCATTAAGTCGTGGTTGTTTATTGTTCTCATGGGGGGTTTTTGTTGTTTTCATCTCAGCAGTTTATGGTAGGGCGATGTTGACCATTTCAAAGTTGGTGAAATGTTAGAATTACACAGTGCATTGACTGCTTAGATGTGTTCCCATCAAAAGCATATATAACCCAGCTTTGAGCAGCTCTGCCTGTTAGAATGGCTGTTCCTTTGTTGGAAGTGCTTATTCTCTATTGTTCCTTGGGAGTCCCTCTTAGAAACTAGGAGGGGGTACTTTTTGAGAACTTTGCCCAAGAAGATTGGACCACTGTGTCTCCTAATTTAAAGTTGGCTTTTGGTGTTTTTACCAACCCAGAATACTTGAGGAGAATTCTCTTCCATGTTTTCTAAGGAATGCATCTAAATGCATGTGGTATTCCTATTTTGATTAACTCTGTGTGTGGTGTCGCTGTAGGAGCGTCAGGAAGCAGAGAAAATGTTCAAGGGCAAACGGGGTGCACAGCTTGCAAAGGATATTGCCAGGAGAAGCAAAACGTAAGATACGGATATCCAACTTAACTCCACTTCACCTTCAGAAACACTATCTGCCTGGCAGTTTGCCTCCGACAAAATTAAACCCAAAACTGGTTAGTGTGGTATTACATTTGAATGATGGTGTCTGGCCATCCATGGTCTGTACATCACGGGAAGTTTCTACCAGGTTAGCAGAGCATATATTTCGGTTTACCATCTTAATGTGCTGTTAAACATCCTGCTTTCTCTATCAGAAGATGGATTGGGTGGTGTTTCTGAAGGAGAGAGTTCTTGTATCAGTTTGTTAACAAAGATAAGATACTACACTGGTTGAATTACTTTCAAAGCTCTTGAAAGTAAGAGAAGCAGCCTGCACTAGTCAGAGTGTAACGTTTATATTCTCCCTCCCAAGTTTTAATCCAGGTGCTGGTTTGCCAACTGACAAAAAGAAAGGTGGGCCATCTGCAGGGGATGTAGAAGCAATCAAGGTACGAATGTGTGTGTTTGGGTTATCAGACTGGAGAGAGCAGAGATGGGATCAGGACAGTGGTGTATCCTAGTGCTAAACATAGTAGATCCCATTATCCCATAGTTGTCAGGACTCTGTTAATTCCAGTCCAAGAAAAGCTACCTTAAAGATACTGTTTGGCCAGACTTTGATTTGAATTAATTGTATAAATGTATAATTGTATCAAAGGCCTCTGTGTGTATCTCCTTCTCCCAGGATACATTTACTTCTTGGAGCAATTAGTTACTTTGGTGTGCATTCTTAGTTTCTCTGCTTCCCAAGATTTGCTGGCTGACAAATCCTGTTGAAGTATCTGTAGAAAATCCTAGTCTCCAGTAACAGAATTCCAAACATACTTAACTTGAATGTTAGGGCCTGTGGAATGGTTGCTTCTTCTCCTTTATAAAAGCCGAATCCCTTCCTAAGTGATGGCGTGCTTTCTAGGTGAAGCTCTTCCCCACACAGCCATGTGGTTGACTTTCTAGGGGGAAGTTGCTAGGAATTTCTGTAGTGTCTTTTGGGGTTTGTACTCATCCATCTCCCTTTGCTGTGTTTCCCAGAATGCCATAGCAAATGCATCGACGCTGGCTGAGGTTGAGAGGCTGAAGGGCTTGCTGCAGTCCGGCCAGATACCTGGCAGAGAGCGCAGAGCAGGTCAGAAAGCTGCTCTGTATGCACTTCCAACACATCACACTTGGAATGATGACAGAGGAACACCTGGTTGGCATGACCACACAGGCCTGCAATCCCCATATTTGGGAGGTTGAGGCAAGAGGCTCAGGAGTTGAAGGTCATGCTTGGCAAGGAAACAAGCTTGAGACCAGCTTGGGCTACAGGAAACCTTTTCTCAAAGAGGGAGGGAGGGAGGGAGGGAGGGAGGGAGGGAGGGAGGGAGGGAGGGAGGGAGGGAGGGAGGGAGGGAGGGAGGGAGGGAGAGAGAGAGAGAGAGAGAGAGAGAGAGAGAGAGAGAGAGAGAGAGAGAGGAAAAATAGGAAGGAAAGAAGTGGGGGGGCATTGGGATATTTATGAGGTCTTTACAAATTGTAGCAAAACATTCTATAACATAGAAAGAACAAAATTCTATAGATGATTGTGAACTTCTAAGTCACATGGTACATAATGGGCATCTTAGTGAACTGATGCATTCCATATACAATAGTATATGGAGTATACTATAAAGTAACAGCTTAAAAATTGCTTTGCCTGGTATTTTTACTATATGTTGTCTATGTTCACATGGGTGTAGATGCACAGGTACTTACCTTTGTTTAACACTTGTCTGTATTATTGAGAACAGTGACATGTAGTCTAGGTTTATAATTGTCTTCACCAGATAGGTAGTTTAATAACTTTTACCATGTAGTTTGTGTAAGTGTACTCTGTCATGTTCATCTTCACAAAAAAATGAAATCTCCAGTGATAGAATTCCTGGAACATAGATCCCATAATTAGTGGTAATTTAGTGGTTAGTGGAACTGACTACACTGAGCCTGAGCAGTACTGTCCTGGGGCAGGTTTCTTCATCTTAGGCTAGTATTTGCATCTTTAAATTTAAGATAACTACTATCATCCAAAGGTTTGGGGGAGGATTGTGATAATTACACTTAGCACAGGGCAAGTTTTGGGTAGGTGTTAACTAGTGTAATGTTTGAATGCTATGTTTGTCAGACAGCATGTTGAGCACTAGAGATACAGTATTCAAATAAAGTAAACACATAGTACAGATTTTGGTATAAATTATCCCTGGAGATCACTACCATGACAGTTTTTCAAGGATCATTGTCTTTGAGCTGTTTTGTTTGTTAGTTTTGTGACCCATTGAGTTTAGCCGAGGTTGCTTGCATGAGCGTGGGGCAGGGCAACTTACCATGACTACACTACTGAAGAAAATGACTTCCTACCTCAGCAGCTGTTCATTGCCAGTAGCTCCTCAGGGAGAGGCTTTGAGGTATTTTTAAGATCAGTGGTGGTGGTGGTGTGTGGTTCCTGGGCCCCTGGGGACATGCAAGGTAAATTATATCTGTAATAACTTCCAAGATGTTTGCTCTTCCGTTTGCCCTGTTGGGCAAAAGCAGTAGTGGGTAAATAACCCTGCTGGCTTTGTGTACCAGCAAGGAGGCCCAGTGATGGTCCTTGTGTTCTTCCTTGCATCTACTCTAGTAAAATTCATATCAAACCCACTCTCTGTCCTTGATGAAGAAATAGAAATGGTTTTCTTTAGAACTAAGTCCTTGAGTAATCCCCAGCACCTGACAGTGTTTATTACCAATGATAAGATTGCAGATTTTAAGCAAAAATTAAAGTTTGGAAAACTTGGGCTGGGGATATAAGTCTGATAGAGCTCTGTCTAACACAAATGAGACCCTGGGTTCAAGCTTCACCATTACTAGAAAGAAAATGTAGTTCCACTGGCAAAATGTTGACATCTTCCTAGTACTTACAAACATTTCTGGGGAAATCAGTGGGAATATTAATGAGTTTCGCTTTCATGATAACATGTCATGAAATGACTCAACATTTGAAAGATCAACAACAAACAGGGTAAATGAATTTTTCCAAATATTCAGGTATCTGTATGGGTACAAGATCCATTCAAGCTACAAGGTAGAGGTATGAACAGGAAGAGTTTGTTAAGAAAACTTCAAGTTCAACTTTATGAGCAGTCTGTAAAAAGCTGCCACTTCAGCCAAACATGCCGTGGTAGCTTCTGACTATAGAAGCGATAGATAGACTTGAACTTCAGTCGTTTCTCTAAACATTTGAATGAGGCCAATGTTTGTTTTTCTTTTTCTTTTTGGAGATAGGATCTCTCTAATAGCCCTGGCTATCCTGGAATTCACTATCCCAGGCTCGACTCAAACTGGGAAATCCGCCTGCCTCCACCTCTTAGGTGGTAGGATTAAAGGCGTATACTACCACACCTGGCATTTTTGTTTTGTTTTTTCTCTTTTTCAGAATATATTGGCCAAAAAAATTGTTTTCTTTGTTTGATTTTTGAGGCAGGGATTCTCTGTGTAGCCCTGGCTGTCTTGGAACTCACTCTGTAGATCAGGCTGGCCTCAACTCTACCTCCTGAGTTCTGGGATTAAAGGTGTGCTACTACCGTCCAGCAACCAAAAATCTTTTAAAAATAAAAATAAAAAAGCAGAGAGAGAGAAACCCAACTACCAAGATTGTGGAACACAGTTAAAAACCATTTGTATGTTCATTCACTTTTTTTTTTTTATTAATGTGTGTATGTCTGATGAGTGGACAGATAATACAAAATTGACATGACTTCTGGTTTTGTGGGTTTTTTCAGGGCCAAGTGATGATGGAGAAGAAGAGATGGAAGAAGACACAGTCACAAATGGGTCCTGAGCTCTGGCAGGTGTCTGATGGACTGTCTAGGGACAAGTCTTGGTTTCTGAGTATGGAATAACAGCCTTGCTTGTATCAGCAACATGGAATCTGTCAGCATTGCTGAATGTTCAGAACTATTGCTGATAGTTTTTTAATAAGAACCTTAGAATCTAAATTCCACTTTTATACAAATAGTAAAATAAAGGCCACTTTCTTGCTGCCAAATTATCTGTTGTTGTGTGTTTGCGGTGAGGTGTAGGGACATGTTTAAGTTGGAAGTTGGGGAGTGTCTTAGTTAGGGTTTCTGTTACTGCAATGAAACACCATGACAAAGAGCAAGTTGGGGAGAAAAGGGTTTATTTGTCTTACACTTGCTGAAGGAAGTCAGGACGGGAACTCAAACAGGGCAGGAACCTGGAGGCAGAAACTGATGCGGAGGCAGCAGAGGCAATGGTGCTGCTTACTGGCTTCCCAGGAGGACCAGCAGCCCAGGGATGGCACTACCCACCTTGGACTGGGCCCTCCCCCATTGATCACTAAATGAGACAATGACTTACAGGTGGGACTCATGGAGGCATTTCCTCAACTAAGGCTCTATCCTATCTGATGACTCTAGCTTGTGTCAAGTTGACACACAAAACTAGCCAGTACAGGGAGGATGGTGTTTCTGAATAAACATTACTTCCGACTATGAAGTGTTTCAGATTCTTTGTAAAGGTAGGCAGGCTTAGTACTAGACAAATAGGTATCCTTTGACTTTTTAATTAAACACACACGAGTAACAAATTTAAAATGATTTGAAAAATTCTAAGTAGGAATTGGAGCTACAACATAAGCAGAATAGTCTTCCAGCCTGTGGGACAGAGGCACAGGGTTCATGGCTTCTCTGTGGGGCATACTTCTCTTAGCATCTAGCTATCTTAGCTATATTCCTTATCCCCGCCGGTGGTGGCCCATGCCTTTGATCCCAGCACTCGGATCTCTTGAGTTCGGTCCATCCTGATCTACAAGAGCTAGTTCTAGGACAGCCTTCAAAGCCGCAGAGAAACCCTGTCTTGAAAAACCAAAAAAGAACAAAAAACAAAACACTATATTCCTTATCGAGAAAAGATTTTCTTTTTAATTGTTAAATATTCGTGTCTTGGTTTCCCTATTCTGCCTTGTCCCCTTGAGAACAGTGTCTCTCTGAGCCTGGAGCTATGCTGTCAGCCAGCCAGTTCCAGCAGTCCTGTCTCCACCCTACAAGACAGGTTGTGCATTTGGACAGACCACCTCCCCCCCCCGGTGGTGGGGATTTGAACCCAAGTACTCAAGCTTGCATAGCAAGCATTCTTGCCCACTAAACTATCCTCCTGGCTACAGCTTTCCAAGCTCCTTTGGTAATTCTGAATGTGACAAGCATATTAAATAGTCTCTAGATGCTTTTCATTGATGACTGATAACTAACTGATCTTGTAAGGCATATACCAGACACCTGGGATACAATGGAACTGCGCTCCCAGCCATCTTGCTGGGGAGAATGACGGGAACAGTGGCTTCTCTTAAGCCCCAGGCTTAAATTTAGTTCTTCCCATGTTGGATTGGAGTCTGGTTTGCAGTAACCTCAGTGAGGTGCCTGTACTGCTCCCATAGCCTTTCTGTTCATGTTCCAGCCCCTGTTGCTGATAAGAATTCACCCTGTCCAGGCTGGCCTCGAACTCACAGAGATCTGCCTATCTCTGCCCCGGAGCACTGGGAATAAAGGCATGTGCCACCACCACCCAGCAGCCTGGGGTAACTTGTATTGCACATTTTTTTATTAAAAGTAACTTATTTGGAACCCAGGCCTGGGCTGCACTACAGCATTTGAGAATGATAGAGGCTGCTAGGCATGCACTGAGTTAGTCTAGACTAAACAGAACTGTGTCAGTACTAGATAATTTAGTATTTGATGTCGGTGGGAAAAAAACCAGCACACCATTACATCATGTGCCATTGTCCCTATCAAGGACTTCGCAAAGCTGGCTTGAGGTAAGTGAGGTTTCCTCTTCCATCTGTGTGTCTCAGGACCCAAATCATTTTGATCAGGTTCACCTCAATACATGTTGTTTTCCCTAGAACCTAATATTTTCAATGCATAGTTTCATAGAGCATGAGTTTTATTCAGGCTACTATTGTCCATGTTCCAGCAGAGATTTGTAGTAACTGATAGTCATGCATCACCTGCGAGAATGGGTCCATGGAAAAGATACTAATTTGAGATGATGTCTCATGTCATGTAGCCCAGGCTGGCTTTCAACTAGCCACAGAGCTGAAACTGGCCTAGAATTGCTAACCCTTCTACCACCACTCCCCAACAACTAAGATTACACCTGATCTTGAGTGTTATTGCTCTAGTATTTCTATATAATTGGTGAATGCCCTAGTTTTGAGACTCGACCTGATTGAATTAATGGATATGATTATAAGACCTGAAACTTGATCGCTGGATTCACATGATAGAACAGATAGAACTGATCTCCATTCATGCGTGCACGTGTATGCGTGCGTCCGTACGTGTGTGCGTGTGTGGTGATTTTAAGGACTTGATACTCTCAAAGAGGCCCAGGGGGTTTGATTCTCAGCACCAACACTGCAGTTCACAACCTTCTGGAACAGATCCAGGGAATCTAACACCCTCTTCTGGCCTCCATGAGCACTGCAGATGTATGGTACACGCATATGCAGGCAAGACACTTTTTATTTAAGAGTGTCCACAGAAGGAGGCTGGGCCTAATTCATGTTTGAACAGAACGGCCATTTCATTGCCTTCTCTGAACTCTTGAGCTCCCACACCCCGGTCCTATGTAGTTGCTTCTTACCTTGTAAAACAGAAAGTTTTGGCAGTTTGCCAACACTACTGCCACATCATCTACAGGTTTCCATATTTGACTCTGCTCTTTATTAATTGCATGTAACATTTCCATACATGTATATAGTGTATTTTAATCATACACACACCTGTTACCTTCTTTTGTCCTTAGGATTATTTCCCTCTTCCTAATTAGCCACTCCCTTTTTGTGTGCAGAACTTAGTGAGTTAGAGTTTTTTATGGGAACATGAGCACCTTACCAATGGCTACACCGCTGAAGGGAATGTTTCTTACTCCTCCATTAACTAATAAAATACTAGGGAGTCAGGTAGGCCCCAATTAGCACCTCTCCCTTTCAGTGGTAGGATGTTAAGAACCAGTCTTGTGCAGATCTTGTGACATCTGTGATTAACTAGAGTAGCTGGCTTTCTGTGCCTAATTCTCCTCAGACAACTGGCTAAACTACTCAGAACTGATAACATTTCTGCTTACTTGCCATTAACCAAAGCAATCCATCCAGCTAAACACAATGGATGGGGAAATTCACCTAACCCTGAAGGACTTAGCTATAAGAAGTACCCATAGGGGCCTGGAGAGATGGCTCAGAGAATAAGAGCACTGACTGCTCTTCCAGAGGCCTTGAGTTCAATTCCCGGCAACCACATGGTGGCTCACAACCACCTTGAATGAGGGCATATGCAGGCAGAACACTGTATAATTAATAAAATAGAAGGAGGAGGAGGAGAAGAAGAAGAAGTACCCATAGAAGGATGGAGTGAGAAGTTTAAAGACAGGCATTTAGTCTACATAACCAATAGTGGGAGTTGTGGATACTATTCACCTTTGTCCTATTTTTGCAAGTAACACCTGAGCTGTACAAGTGCTGGGTTAAATGGGGTTCTAGATAGCTACCACTTGATGAAGGGGACAAAAACAACACACCTGAGATGTAGGGGCAGTTTTGTAGAAGCTTAAATGGCACTGATTCAAAATGCTTTACATGTTAGTTGAATATCATACTGTGCACACCTAACTGTGCACACCTATGGTTCCCAATAGTAAACAAAGCTACCTTTTATATATGATTTTGGTTGTTTGGTTGTTTGGCTTTGTTGTTTTTGAGAAGGGCTAACTATATAGCCCTGGCTAGACTAGAACTCACAGAGAGAGATCCACCTGCCTCTGTTTCCCATGGTTTTGATTTTTGAGGCAGTCTTACATTTCCCAGTGTGGCCTTCCTATGACACCAAAGATGACCTTGCTCCTGATCCTCTTACCTCTGCCTCACAAATGCTGGGATTAGAAGCATTTACCACCATGCTCAGTTTGGGCAGTGCAGGGCTTTAAACCCAAGACTTTGTACATGCTAGCCAAGGAAACACTTGATCAAACTGAGAAACAATCCTAGTCCTACTTTGTATATTTTTAGTGCATTTTCTTTATGAATAGCTTCTAGTTTCTATTTTACATTACAAAATCCCAAGTGGAAAATATTTCATTATGGCATTTTCATATATGTGTTTTGTTTTGTTTGTTTTGGTTTGGTTTGGTTTGGTTTGGTTTGGTTTTTCGAGACAGGGTTTCTCTGTGGCTTTGGAGGCTGTCCTGGAACTCGCTTGGTAGTCCAGGCTGGTCTCGAATTTACAGAGATCCGCCTGCCTCTGCCTCCCGAGTGCTGGGATTAAAGGTGTGCGCCACCAACGCCCGGCCACTTTTTTTCTTTTTTGAGACAGGGTTTCTTTGTATAGCCCTGGCTTGTCCTGGAACTCCCTCCATAGGCCAGGTTGGCCTCAAACACAGAGATCTACCTGTCTCTGCCTTCTGAGTGCTGGGATTAATGGCATGCATCACCAATGCCTGGCATTTTGTTGGTTTTTAATTTTTCCACCTCTCTTTTTAATGAAACTAAATGTTAGTACTTATCATCATGACTACAGATATTAATGGACTGGGTAAACAGGCCAATGAAGCAGCCTCCTCACTCTTAACAGGATGTTTCACTTGCATTTGTATGACAAAGCCTAAGCAAGTGAGAAATCACCTTAAGAGTGATGGTTCAAACTGGGGGTGTAGCTCAGAAATAGATTGTAGGGGGCCAATACCCAAAGTTTTTATATAGGGTGGTCATTTTTACCACTAAGAGGAAAACACTGAGAATATAAAACTAATTAGCAAATTGATGGCTAGCTTTATATCTTAACTGATAATATTCGGCCATCAATTTTCTGATTTGTAAAGTCCATTTTCAAGGTGGCTGATAATGTGAAGCAATTTTAGGGTTTTCTCTCTGCCCCATGAACACTAGTCCTTCAATAGGAATCACTGCATTAGTTTACTGTTACTGTAGCAAGATATTTGACAAATTTTATGAAGCAATGACATTTTGGAGAGTCA